CTTATAACAAATTATCATGAAATCGTTTAGTGTAAATATGCTTAGTTCATGCAAAAATATCTTTTTACGTGAAGTATAACTCAAGTACGAGGAAGTCTAACGCAGAATGCCTGCAATCGCAAAACGATTACCTTACTGAAGGAAAAGACGGGGCGCGGCTTGGCCCATTTCTGAACCTTAGGATAATCATGGGTGTTCAGTATAAACGCCATGTCTGGAAGTTCATTTAGTAAATCGAGAATAAAATGCTCTGCTCCTTCGCACCTGAAACAAAGAGTATGTGAACGGGGGAAAAACAATGAAAAATGATAGCCATGGTATACAATCACTATACAGGAAGGGTGAACTGCAGCCATAGTTACAAGATGGTGACAAACAACCCTTAACAGAAACGAAAACTAACATTCGTTAAAATCCTGTTCCGTACAACGCAATAATGCCCATCATAAATGTCTAGATTACATAACTTATGATTATGCTTTTGAAAAACTGGACAACGGTTGAACATCACTGCATTTCAATTACTTATGTCGGTCGTGTCACTGTTATTTTTACACTAGTCGAGGCAGTTCTGTTTAGTACTGTTCAACTTATTTTTTGTGATTTAATTTGCACTCATGCCTCTTTTGCTTATGACGAAAACGTTATTTTTGGCGGATTCATTTAAAAACGACAACTCAAACTCTCAGTTTCAGGACCTAGATAATAGCCATAAGACATGATAGAATAGACAGTGAGGATGAAAGCAGGTACTGTTAAACAAATTGTAAAATTTTTTTAATTTAGCCTTTGCGTCTTTTCGTTGTCACGGAGGAGCCAAGGAGCTTCATACAAAAACAGCCACATGCAACGAAACCTGAGGAAGGTATAAGAATAAATTGGGAACACTGAGATCGTCCTTGTCAGTGTGATCTTCCACTTCAATAAACAGCTTTGGTGTAGCACATATATCGTGCCATTTTATTGTTATCCTCGTAAACATCACACTATTTTAATGTGATCAAGAAGGAATTAAGTGTTATTACTATCTTACAATTACTCCATTTTTTTGCCTCTGGCATTAAACTACTTTTGTTCACTATCACTACTTTTATTGTATATTTGCATCACAGTTTTACTTCAACGCCAGCATTATTGCTCCATACGTGTAGCATTTAAGCGAGAACCCGCAAGCGATTACTCAAAACCGTGGAATGCGGCTGGTATTTAGACCCAAAAACATCATGGAGACAGCTAACTGCGCGTCAAAACAATTGACTCAAAGTCCAAACAACAACCCTGGATCTACATCTTATTTTCCGATTGCAGTTTCAGTTACATAGCAGAAGCCGGTAACACAAAAGAAGAAAAAACAGCTTCGTTGTAACCTTACAACCTTACAAGTGCAACGCTCATCCAAGTCAGAATAGACAATCACGGAAAGAGAAAAGACGAGGGCCAACGAATAAGGAATGTGAAAAAAGCTCAGCGGCTGTCGAACATGCTGCACAGGGCATGAAAATCTCGTAACTCCACACGTTCTAGCCTGTGCAACAATAGAATTACTTCTGAAGTCGATCAAAGAACCTCTTTCCCCTTTGAAGACGGTATGTGAGACAAGGACCAAAACGTCGCTATTGGTCACTCATCTGACTGGCCATATTTTTGCGCTATATATATACATATACACCATGATTTGTGATGTATTAATTACTTCTGTGCTATTACTAACATTCTTTCAGTATTATTATAATCTTTATCGTTTGTATTACTCTTATCGTTGTATACTTGCTTAATGCTCTGCGGTTATACCGCATTTGTATTTTGCTATAATGCTAAAACTTTTTTGCAATAACTTGTAAAGAATACTCTGATTTAAAATCAATGAAATATACGTGGCTACGTTTGTCTAGTGCGGTATTAAACTTGGCTGAAACTGATTAATATGAAGATCGCAGATAAAATAATATAGAAATGACAGATGAAGCAAAAGGAAACCAGCAAAAATAAATAAAAATCTCCTGGTATGGCACAATGACGTAGTGAGAAGATTTGCATACCCCAACGATCCTGATAAAACAGAAATTGGCTTCTGA